AGGCAGCTTCAAGTACCTTGGGTCGGTTATCCAGGGGGGAGGGGAGATCGACGAGGATGTCACGCATCGTATTGGGGTAGGATGGATGAAGTGGAGGTTAGCGTCTGGAGTCATGTGTGATAAGAGAGTGCCACCGATTCTCAAAGGTAAGTTCTATAAAGCGGTGGTTAGACCGACAATGATGTATGGGGCTGAGTGTTGGCCTGTTAAGAACTCACATATCCAGAAGATGAAAGTAGCAGAAATGAGGATGTTAAGGTGAATGTGTGGGCACACTAGGATGGATAAGATTAGGAATGATGATATTCGGGAGAAGGTGCACGTAGCTCCAATTGATGACAAGATGCGGGAAGCAAGACTCAGATGGTTCGGGCATGTTCAGAGGAGAAGCCCAGATGCTCCGGTAAGGAGGTGTGAGCGGCTAGTTGTGGAGGAAACGAGAAGAGGTATAGGGCGGCCTAAGAAATATTGGGGAGAGGTGATCAGACATGATATGGCAAGCCTTCAAATTTCCGAGGACATGACACTTGATAGGAAGTTGTGAAGGTCGAGCATTAAGGTTTTAGGTTAGGAGGTAGTTAGTCTTGCCTTACTAATACCTGTGTGAGACTAGTCTGGTAGGGTTTTTGTCTAAGATAGCTAGTGTCAATGTTGTATTTTCAGTGCAGGACCTATTTACTATCTATTGGTTTTGCTTTGCATCTTTCTTCCGGATTTCATGTTGTTCCTATTTTTCTTATGATTTTCTTATGATTTATGTGGTGATACTAACATTGTCTACCTTTGTCTTTTTGTTCTCTTGAGCCGAGGGTCTTTCGGAAACAGCCTCTCTATCCCTTCGGGGTAGGGGTAAGGTCTGCGTACTCACTACCCTCCCCAAACCCCACTAGTGGGATTTCACTGGGTTGTTGTTATTATTTTGCCTATATGGGCAGTAATATTATGCACAATTCATGAGGGTGATGTTGTGCTCATTTTGATAAATTATTAAATCAATACCAACTATGGCACAAGCATACAATGCACTATGCTGGCTAGTTAAACATTAAAGAGAGGAAGTAGCATACCATCTTCAAGAGACAACACAAATGCTATACAGAGATACAGTAGCAAGCATAATGATGAAACCCCCAGCCAAATCCTTAGTGCTGACAAATGGGGTGTCGCAATGGCAAAAGGCACGCATGCAAATCCAGCGATCGCTATGAAATGTGGCAGCTTCAGCTGATGGTCATCACTAAAGAGAAGATAGAAGGCCTGGCATGGCAATCAAGTCAAAAGAGTATGTACTAAGAAAGGTTAGTTTAGATATTGTATTCACAAAAGATACACAAAGGAGTATCCTAGATGTGCTAGCATGTTGGAATACAGATGGCAGCCTTTCCAGCCAAAAAGAGAGATGGAGGATTGTCCCACCTTGTATTTGGTGGACAATCTGGAAGGAGAGAAAACGCAGATGTTTTGAAGGCAATAACAGTTCCTTGCAGAAGATGAAGACGAATTGTTTAGTCCTTTTTTATTTTTGGCGTAAACGAGAATACTTAAAGGATGCTGAGTCTATTTTTGAGGTGCTAGATTATTTGTAGATGTAAAGGATTTGGGCGTCAGTTTGTATTCCACCTTGTAATTATGTGGGACTACACTGCTTTGTGTAGCTCCAGTTTTTATATATATATATATATATATACACAGATATGCTACCTTCTCAACAAACAAAGGTACATAAAGTAATCATACTGTCAAAATCTACCAAGCAAACAAATATTTGCAGCAGAAGAACTAAACAATAAGTCAAGCCAACATCACAAAACCGAAAATGTAAAAAGACTCAGTTATTAATCATCTTTATCTGGCAACTCCTTACCCCCCTTCTTGGCCTTTCTTTTTCTCTGTATAATCTTTCTCTTTCCTTTGGCAAGGGTAGAGGGGAATGCTAATGGTTCTGCTAACGTGTCTCATCGAATAAATAAGAAATGAAGGTTTGGAGGACAGGAAAAGAATATATCTGACCTTCAATGCTGAACCAGCCATGATAATATATCCAATATTTATCAAGACGAGATTCGCATATTGTAATGCCCAGACAAGCAAGTATGCTGTCCTTCCTGCAGTAACAAAGCAAGCTCAATTTTATTCAAACAAATAATTGATCAAGAAATAAAAAGAATGATGTCTGATGCCTGCACATCAGTTGATGTGTTTCCTTTATTATTTGTACCATATAAATATCCTGCAAGGTCCCTATATCTGATATGCCTCTTTCCCCCAACTTCATGGAGTTTAGCAGTAAGAATACTTGCGTATAATGATACCATTGTCGATAAAATTAGACCAACTACACCACCTATCCAACCTAGAGGAACCATGATTGTGCCAGAATATCCTAGCGCGTATGCACTGTTGACACCCATGCTGAGAAGAATTCCTACCTGAAACCATGAATCTGCCAAAAAAAAAAAAGGAAACGCAAAATTCCAATGAGTCAGCAGCATTGATGCCAATGATAGAGTTACAGAAAAAAACCAACAGAGATCAGAGATACAGAAAAAACAAAAAAAAACAGGTTCTTTTATAAATATCATAACACATCACAGAAGTACTCTTTTCTTAATTTTTCAAGGGACAGAATGGAAAACAAAGGTGGAGTTTTTCCATGAAATTCTTTTTGAGATCTTGCAATATATTTTTCAAAAACTTTTTTATTTAAGGTTTTCTTTTCAGAAAAAAAAACTGTCTTTTTGAAGAAAGGATTTGAGGTGTTTTTCAAATAAAGGTTCTGCTTCTACTCATAAAACATTCTCAGGTCTTTTAAATAAAACTACCAATATCCAACCACGTCTCATTTTTGCACAAACTTTTTCTTTGAAAAGATTATCAATAACCTTTTCCCAAAAGTTGTCCAAACGGCTCATTCTTTCTCTTCACTTGTCAAAATTGAATAAATTTGGAATCCAAACAGATGCTTTATAGTTATGTAACAAATTAAATTCATATAGATAGAGTATACAAATGGATTAATTTAGCCAATTGAAAGAGGGAAAAAGTTGGAAAACGCATAAACACGATAAATTTCTCATTTAATTCAGCTTTCTTAATTCATGCAAGTAACTGGACAAAAGCACCCAAGTCAAATGTAAGTCTGTTCTATTAGATCTTTATTAAGTGAGCTTTATGTGGATTCTACAAATGATCATGTATACTGAATATTAATGACAACTTTACAAATATAGCGTGAGGTGCTGTTCATACAGAAATTACTGAGGCGAGAAGTCAAGTAACTTAAAGTTGCAATGTGCCAGCTGAAAATCAATAGATCAATGGCCTCAATTTGTAATTGTCATCCTTTATTCATCAAATCATATTCAGAAAGATCATTTAACAAAAAAAAAATAAACTGTCAATACAAGGCCCTCCATGTTAACACCATGATGCACCAAAACTACAACGAGTTAACAGCAATGATATCAATGATACAATTGCAGCAAAAGACAGGTTACTTTATCTACTAAAGTACAACAGATCAAGGAAATGACTTCTTCTTAACTTTTCAATGAACAGAATGGAAAAGTTAATCATTTCTGATCACTTGTCACAATTGAATGAAAGAGGAATTTAATCAAATACTGTAGGTATGGAACAAATTAAATTCTCATAGATAGAGTACCCACATTAAAAGGAAAGGGAAAAGTTCATTTAAAAGGATCAAATAAAACAATGTATCCAACACCAAAAAGATGAAGAGCTTATTGAGGTGAGAAATCAAGGAATTTAAAGATTCAAATGGGCCAGCCGAAAAACAATGGGTCAATGGAATTTTCTGTCATCAATTCAAATAGTAACAATTATTCGACAATATAAGAAAGCAGAATAAGGACTTCAAGTAAATGAAATTGAAAATTGGAAAAGCGTAAGAGACCGTTGCTGACTTGGTGGGCGGTATGAACAGGGTATTGATCGTCCACATTTTCTTTCCGAGAAGGGTTATCGTTTCCCATTTCAACTATCTCATTCTCCCGTCCGGCCAAGAGCAAGATGTTCTCCTCCTCCGCCCCATCCCTAATTATGCCGTCGTCGAACGCCAGCTCCAATTGCTTCTCAGCTGAAGCTAATTCAATCGGAGCCAGCTCTGCCTAATTTCGAGAGGACCCGCCAACAGAATAAACAAGAAAATAATTTCGGAATCTTGAAATGCTTACTGGATCCCTTTCTGCTTGGTTATTTATTGTCTTTGTCATGTAATGTCAACCTCTAATTGGGTTGGCCAAGTTTCTCAAAATCGTGACGCCTTCCGTCTCCTCTTCATTAGTTCCCACATGGGTCCCGTCGTTGGTCCGCTTTCACTATTCTCCGTTCCGCATGTTTGTTTTGTTTTTTTTATTTCTAATTATTGAAAACGTAGAAAATTAGGTAAACACTCTATCTTCACAAATTATTTATCCAAAATCAATAAATAGATGGCAAAATTATGTCACTTAAATATGGTTATTACTAAATCATAACTAATTAATATAAATTCTCAGACTAATTTATCATTTAATTATAATAAATTTGTATAATTTAGTATAGGGAGCTAAAGGGAGGCAAGAGTTCAATTAATTGTACTGCTCAAATAGGGTGGGAAAACTAGTGATGTATGAACTTTTGTATCCCATATCATGAGGGAAGATTTAACCAAAGCGTTCAAAAATTACTTTATATCACATATTTCAATTTCTTAATGTGATACTATACTACTGTTTCAACTTTAATCCTTTCCCTTGTATGAATTTTCTGAGTCACCTTGCTCCCACGTACTCCCTCGTGTGTTGGCTTTTGTAAGTGATTGAAACTTTAGTACGGTTATGTTTCTAGCTTTCGTGTAGCAATGCTAGTAGATTTTATCACGTACCCCTGCAGAAGTAACAATCTGAAACTGCTCAAAATCTTACTCCTCTTTTGTGGTTTGAGATTGCAACAGCAACCACACGTTGACCAAAAAGTGACAGGCTAAACAAAAAATAGATGAGCATAAAATGCGCGTCAAGTGGGTGTACCGTCCCTATTTGGCTGAATCAAGATGCTGCAAAATAACTTAATTTGTAAAAGGAAAAAAAAAAACAAAGAATGCTCCTAACCTTCATATTATCTCTCTCTAAAAGAAAATCGTTTCCAGTAAGATTAAAGTAAACAAATTTGAGATAAAACCATGGACTAAATGAATTTGCTTAAGCATGACTTTTGTCAAAATTGTGTGTATATTCGTTATAATTGATTTGATCTAAGTCCGACAATCAGAAGCTAATGAGGATTAATTTATTGAAGGAAGCAATAAATAAGAAAACCCTATAATTGAGAATTAGTTTAGGGAAATCAACACGTTGGCAAGTTTTGTAGCCTTCCAACAAAATTTATTGCTTCCCCTTAATTTATTAGGGAAACTTTGTCTCCCTCGAATGAATATTTCTAGTATTTGTATTTGGTCATATGCTTTCACAGTAAGAAAATTATCAAAAATAGTTGTTTTTTCAATCTTCACGTAATATAATTTATGTTTTATTAGCTTCTTTGTTTGAAGATAAGTCATATATATTCACCAATGAAAGGTTAACGAAGAGCATATATATATAAGCCAAAATCAATAGGTCATGAGTATTTTTGTACCTTCCCGTTTTTCAAAATGATCCTCCCAACTTGTCCAAGTCCAAACAAGTCAAGTCATGACCTTTATTTTTTAGCTTGTTACTTACGTTTTACCCTTTCCATTGACGGAAACAACAAAAACAATTTCATTTTCAATAATTAAGTACTACCTCCGATGTGTATTATTTACTTTTTAAAAATTATTGTACATCCTATAAAAAAGAAGATATTTAAGAATGTTTATTATAATATATTTTTAAATTACCATTTATTTCTCCTTAAACATCTTCATTAATACTCTAATAATTGAAATATAAAAACAACAAATATTTTGAAATAAAATTCACTTCGTCAAAACGATCAATATCTGGAATCAAGTAGTCCCACTGACAAACGTTAGGTGATGGCCACTTCTCTAACTTTAAAAAATACAGAAAAATTGATGAACTTCTTGGCAAAGACGCCTCTATGTACAACTGTATCAGATTGAGTCACGCTAGATTCAAAATGACATTAGTCCTTATTTGATCCGTTACCTTAAGTATATTAAGGAAGCGAATACTTACTCGTGGTTTTCCTTTTACAAGTTTCTTGACATCCGCTTCATCAATCTTTAAACCGATAGAGCGTTCTTTCCTTTTCTTTTAACTATCTGACGGACATTAAGCTTGTTTAAAACAAGTCAAATTCATACGTATTTATGACTCGGCTCAAAATATATTTTCAACTTAAAGGCAAGCTCAATTTTTTTTCCACAAGTCAAACTCGATTTCGATTTTGCAGTATTTAACTAAGAATAAGCTAGATAATTTTAAACTTGTTCAGACTTCGGTTTGATATAATTGCTTGATAATCACATCACATTCAAGTAATGGAGGGGAATAGGCAAACACTATAAGCTGTACAAGATAAGTTGAAGACTGGTCTAAACCAGAGGGATAGGCGGAGGGTGTGGTGCTAGAAAATGCCCCATGCGTCACAATTGACTTTATGGATACACCAGAAAGCATAAAGCATGGTTTACCACTTGAAAGAAATATACGTCAGATATCCTATGCATTCCAACACACTTTCAAGTCAAACTACTCCCATAATTTCCAGTTCTTGTTGAACTCTACTTGGGGATTCATACAATTTGAAACCTCTTTATAAGTCGCGTTGAACAATTCATTCAAAACTGGTCGCCACGCTAAATGTGAGTATCATTGTCTATATGCATACATTGTTTTTGATCCTCCAACAAAACTAGATATATAAAGTTGCAACATCGAACATGAATCAAACTTTGAACATTTTAACATAATATCTCTTTAGCCACACGTCTCTACCAGCACAGAGATTGCCTCCAGCATCACCTTCCCTTCAACATAATCTTGCTTAAATGTAGTGTCAGAGCCAGAAATCCTAACGAGGGGATTCAAAAACTAAAGAATGCGACACCTAGGATTCAAACTTAGCACCCTATTTATGCAGCAACTCAAGAAACCGGAAACAGCTTGTCTAAATAAAAGAACATTATGGGACACTATACAGCATCACTCCAGAATATCATCAAAGGGAAAGAAAAAAATCTTAACACAATTCACAGCAGAAAGCAAGCTTCAAAATGACTCATACAAAATGATTACAATATTTGTAGTTTTCAAAGTAAAATTTAAAGCACTGATGGAACTTTAAAAGTTTGATAGTCTACTCTTTGATTTGGCATAAGCAAGTTCATGCAAGCTTAAGCAGGAAGTGACTGGAATATTGTATTCGGAAAGAATCAAATTGATTGAGAAATAGAAAGGATAATGAGCTCCTCAACTATTGAGACCTTACAGGGGCTTGTCAGTGCTGCTGACATATTATTTTGGACAGTACAGAACAAAGGATCTTCACTGTGAAATCTTGCTACAAATTCACGATAGCAGGTGAGAGTCAGAAGTCATCCTAGTAATGGAACCAAATTTGGAAAACAAGAGCACCATATCAACTGACTTGTTTTTCTTGGTTAATTGCCTATGCAACTAGTTTGACACAGGAAAATCCACAACAGGGAGCAGACTTGCAAATGTGCAATAGATGCTACCTGTGTAGGAAAGAAGCTGGAAGGCAACGGCCATCCTCTTTTCCAGTTGGCATTGTAACAAAACATCGCAGCTATGTCATTTTTCTTTGAGCATTCTGGGTCTGAGATAGGTCAGGACTCAGGCCAAGAACTACCCAAGAACACATATGCTGGTGCAAGAAAGGCCTTAGTGAGGGTCTTAGCAGCATATGGAACACCATATCAGCTTTGTATTTGGTGGACACTTTGGAGGGAAAGGAATCAAAGTTGTTTTGGAGGCCAAGCAGACTCCAATTCGATGGTCAAGTTTAACTGTATATTATTAGCTTACTTATGATGTTATGTAGAGTGTGTAGATGAGCCTGAAACATTATTACACTTACCAAGTTCTTAACGGAATTTAATGGACTATGCTTTTTTCTCTTTGATGTATATATCATAGGACCAACTTGGTTCTGTAGCATTAATAAAATTATCCTGTTTAGTGGATTAAAAGAAGGTTCATGCAGATTGCAGGCTTAAGAAGCCGGAAGCAGCTTGATTTTTCTATAGTATCAAAGTTATTCTGACTTGTGTAGCATTTCACTATCTTAAGAACAAGATGTGGTCCACTGTTTCTTCTCCTCTTTTTACCATAGTTTTAAACTTAAAGCCACGTGTTTCTCTTTTTTTACCCATATTCCACTTATATGAAACATAACAATCCCTCTATCCCAAGATAACTAGTATGTTACTTCCTCTAATATTTATTGCCCAAAACAGTCCACCTTTCACAAAAAAGTAACTTTAGTCCTGAATTTTAATGCTATTAAAGATTATAAAGTATTAGAAAATACCAACCTATATACTTAGTATAAGATCAAATTCATCAAAGTTAACCTTTTTTTCATGTTTATACATTTCCCATTACATACTATATAACTTCCAACTTACCATGATACTTGTCTCCAGTCAAGTTACAATACTTAACATGGAGTGAAGGGAACATCGATTATTCATAGTATAGAGTAGTCAAGGCCAAGATAAGCATAATTATAAGCTGACTTAACTAAAGGACATCCTGCGCTAATTTACAAGGCAATATAATCTGTAGGAGGAAAAAAGGGCATAAAAGTAGACCGAATCGCTCAGAATATCTAAGTGCATTGCTACACATAAAACCTCAACTGCTACCTCTGAAAAGTAACAAATTTCAGGTACAAAAGGATAAAAAGGTCAACAAGATTACAATACAAAGTTACATACAAAGGCACCCATTCCTCATTGAGAAGGGTAAATACATGGTCCAGCCTTCCGCATAGGTTAATAGAGTACAAACAACAGAAAGTGCATTATACCAAAAACATACACTACTAGATATATTATTCAGTTTTTATTTTTAACATGGCCTGAGTCATCCTCTACAACCACATTGACCTTTTCATACCTGAAATCTCCGGGATGCACTGAGCTCTTCACTGGGATCACTACCTCGGAATTATTGCCAAGTATCACCCACAAAAACAGTCCAATAAAGGCCGCCAATGCTATACACCCTGTGACAAAAATAAACCCTGAGAGAAATGCCAAAAGATGAAACCTTTTTTTGTTAGCCATCTTTTCCAGACTATGTTCGT